TGGTAAAATTCCTGGTTCTTCAAGTTGCTTTATAGTTTCCTGACTACTATGAACATCTGCTCCGGCATTTTTGTCTCCATTTTGTTGTTGTTGTTGATTTGGAGCTTTCTCACCTTGCTGTTCCTGCTGGTCAAATTTATGACGAAAATCTGAACCAGATACAGGTCTTTTCAAGGCTTCATGATAACTGTGACTATAAATGTGATCGTGCGGTATTCCGGTAGAAATGATAGAATATCTTGTTTCTGGATCAATTTTTCTAGCATCTCCAACGTTATCTCGTCTTCTTCTTCTTCTTACTACGACTTGATCTAATACTATTTGTTCAAGTTGTGTATTTTTCTCATTTTCTGAACGTTCTTTGCTTCGTTTTTTGCGTACTATGGATCGTATCCGTTCGAAACTGCGAGCTAATTTGGAATCTTCACCGACTTCCTAAATAAATTGAAATATACAATAGTTAGTACATGAATAATATTTAAAAAAAAGTATGTTAAATGTAATGCTGTTTACTGCATCCTGATGTTCTGAGTTGCTGAGGTCCAAATTATCAAAATAGTAAAATAAATAATAAATCGTAGTGGTGTTGTAGTATCAGTGTACAGTCTTGTGTTGATTGTAATATTATGTTCAATATATTGTATATTTATATTTGTCTACAACTTGTAGCGCGTAAAAAAGTTTATTTTGTCATGAAACATTAAATAATTTTTTTGGAGTATTTTAAATTCAAATAATTATAGTGCAAGTTAACTTGGTTAGTAATATCCAGTTTATTAGTTCAAATCTGCGCATGCAAAAATAATGAAGAATATAATCTAAATGCAAAATATTATTTGAATACTGTTAAACATTCCATTTTGTAGGTTAACTACTAAATATATTAATGAACCAGCATTATGATAAATATTTATAAATACGTGTGATGCTATCGTGTTAAGATATATACGTGATTTAAAATATATTTTCAATACAAAAACGTATTGATTTTATCTTACTAGACGTAAATAAATCAAAGCTTTTAAATGATTGTACTGCTATACTTACTTAAATATTACTTTGAACTACTTTAAATGTTTTGAGATGTTTTATTATATACATGGTATGTATATGTGTTGAATATGTGTAAATGTGGTATATATAACTAATCATTACATAATTTTTAATAAAAATATGTACAGAGTCTATTTACTAAATATTAAGCTATTATTGGGCGCATTAAATTTTGAATACATATTATATGTTTTATAATTTGGCATCATCAGCATTAAGTAGGTAATTACAAATTATGGCGGTGATTAATTGAAATTAAGTTTTTTTAATTATTTTAAGTTCAGAACAGATAATTACAAATGGAGTTCTGCGAATGATCTACCTAATGAATTTTTATTCATTGTATTTTTCTTGCTTTGAAATGATTAAAAATTTAATAAAATTTATACACTAAAATAATAAATAAGTTTTTGAATTCATGAATGACTAAAAATAAGAGTTTTGATCACCACGTTCATAATTTGTAATTATATTTTTCAAACCAAATGTTATTCCATATAGACATAATATTAATTCTATGTAATATAATGTATCTCCACCATTGTTCATTAATATGGTAAATAATAAAATTTCACCTACTGCACCTAGGTTAGTAATGAAAATTAAAAGCATTATGTACAAAAGCTGATTATTGAAGATTTAATCATGCGAGATTTAAAGAGTTACCTTTAACAGATTCTTCGAGTACTTTACCTTGCTCTTCTGCGCGAATTTCTGAATACAAGAAAAACAATAACAACATCAAACTACGACAAAAAATAGAAGAAAATTAATTATAATAAATTCTTAGTAAAACTTTAATTTTTAGGACTTGAAATTTCAAAAAATACCCTCATTTTTTTAGAAACTTAATTACAGTTATAGCAGAAAGATATTTTATGACACATTATAATCATAATAATATAAGATAATATGCCAAAAACATTAAACATAAAAACAGTCAAAAATCAGTAATATTTAATCCATAAAACACAATGAGTAAAAAATTGTAATAGTTAAAATAGTAAGTTATTTAATAATTAATAAAAATATATTAGAGTTTTATAATATAATAGTTTTTACTGAAAAATTATATTGGTGTTTTATGGACTTAATAAAAACATCTATGACATCAAAAAACTTTGTCACTGTAGAAAAAATCTAACACCAAGTGTGAGCAATCAAAATATTCAAAAAACTGCACATAGTTTTGTAAAGCTAGTTTTGCACAGAAAATATAATTTTATAGAAAAAGTTTATTATTTAATTTAAATTAATAAATTAAAATAATATAACAAATAGTAATAATTAATATCTAAATATGGTCAAAGGTAAAACCCGATTTATTGAATTGATAAGCATTTAACAAAAAAAAAATTTTTTTAAGTTTGAATATTTTCTGTGCAAAATAGAGAAATTATTATTCATAAAATTATTAATATCTAACCTCCTTCTTATTTTTCAATTCCTCACTATTGAAACTGTTGAGCAACAACGCCAAGAACAAGTTGAGTACCATAAAATTGCCCATGACGAGAGCTGGTAGAAAAATTGCAAAGCAAGATCCAGCCCCAACTTTCTCCTCAGCCCGCATACAGTCCCAAAGCGGCTCTATCCACTCGCCGCAGAGGATACGGAAGATCATCATAAATGAATGGAAGAAGTCGTTGAAATTCCACCTGAAAAATTGAAGTTTAAGAAGCCACTAGTCTACTAGTTAAAAATATATTAAACGTAATTCGTGAATTATATAAAATACAAGCGATTCTAAAGTGCCGCAATATTTTTCTACCATTGGCATTCCTAATTAGATCACTGTTGCCTTTCATATAATTGTTGTTATCATGCCTTATAATAGTTCTAGTTGATTTAAAGGACGCAATGTGAAAATAACTAATAACTAACCAGTACTAAGTAAGAAACTAGTGGTGCATGGCATTGTGCCTTAAGGCAAATTGCTGGAATTTCCGGTACCGAAAACTAAATTATTAAAAAACTTTGCAAAACTTTGAAATAATTAGATTTTTGAGAAATTTGATATATTTGAAAAAAATGCCTTTTTTGAAAAATTTGAACATTTTTTTAAGCAATCGCGCTGCATAGCTGATTTGGAGGCGAAATATCAAAGCGCGTAAGCGCCGCCTAGTCTTCTAACGTGTAAACATTGGTACGGAACCCAAATAAATTAAATGTACCCAAAATTTATATTTATTATTATAATCTTTATAAAATATCTGATAATACGATGTACATATGTCTAATGTTCATTTTTCACCGCCAAATGGCATTATTAACTTCCCGTAGGGTAAGTTATTATAATGGGCCGAAAATCTAAATTGAAATTTTTTACATTTCTCGACGTTTTGAAGGTTTCTGAACTTTTTGGTATACCTCACAAAAAATGGATGTGTGTGTGTGTGTGTATGTATGTATGGATACAAATTTCCAGTCACGTTTTCGGGCGCACGGATCAACCGATTTGAATGGTTCAAAAAACATTCGATTCCTATTGATAGGGAGATGAGCTAATTAGTTTTTGGCAAAGGCAGGTCCAGTAGTTACGGAGATAAAGAGCAAAGAGTGCAGAAAATAGAAATCGAGTTTTTGAGAGAACGGAGCATCCGATTTCAATGATCTAAAAAACATTCAATTAGTAATGATTGGGAGAAGTGCTTATAAGTTTTTGGCAAAGACAGGCCCAGCTATTTCGAAGATACGGAGCTAAATGTGTAAAAAATGACAGTTTTTGAGAGAACTAAGCGTCCGATCTAAATGATTCAAAGAACTTTGTGCTTGTCTTAACAAAATAATTGATTTTGGAAAAAAAAATTTTTGTTTGTTTGTTTGTATATCAAACGATAGATTTGAACTATAATTTTAAATATTTACGAAATAAAAAAGTGAAAAAATATGTCAATTACAACATACCTGGGAACAGGATCCGGAAAAAACTTGTCCGGTGTGTAGTCTTTTGAGAATAATTGCATACCAATCACAGCAAAAATATAAATAACTATCACTAACACAAATGTCAGGTTTCCCAATGCTCCTATTGTTGAAATTATAATACTGAGCAAAACTTTCATTGTCGTCCATGACTGAGCTAATTTTAACACTCGTAACTGAAAGAAATAGTAACAAAATATTTAATTAAATATTAAAATTTAGTCCTTACTGTATATTTTTGTTGATTTTTCTACGTACTAGTCTAAGTCCTCTTAATACTGATAGACCATCCACAAGTTCGAATATCAAATCGAGTAAACTACCAGATACGACTATAAGATCAAAAATATTCCACCCGCACAGAAAAAAATCTTTGCTTAACGCTAGGATTTTCAGGAAGCACTCAAAAGTGAAGATGGAAGTAAAAACCTAAATACGAAAAAAAGATATTTTACAATATATTATTGATTAAGTAAACCAAATATCGATGATAATTGAATTTACCTTATTGCCAATATCTAAAGCTCGCTCGACGCTTTTGCTCATTCCATGATGTTCGACGGCCAAAAACATGGTGTTGAGAACAATGCATATCGTTATAGCTAATTCAAATAATGGATCTCTTACTATATTATAGAGACATTGTTGAAATTGTAACCATCCTGCATAATCTATGCAACAATGAACGCATCTTGCACAGTTTCGATCTGGTATGTCATCTAGAGATAAAATATTGAGGTCAATATATGATATGAATATATGATTAATAAAATAACAATTATATAAATAAAGCTGAACTTAAAAAACTACTTTTTAAATGTAAAATATTTATAACATTATATATTTAAAATTTATTAATATATATAACCATGAAACATGTTAATTATTATATATCAACATATTTAATCGGAAATAAAGTGTTAACAAATACTTGCAGAATTCTACCCGATTGATATTAAACTTATTTATTCAGCAAATAAATTTAGGGGGGGGGGGTTATAATTATTTATTTCCATATTTTATTCTGAATATTTCGTAAGTTGATCAGATATAGATAGTATTTGATTGATTAGCTTCTAAATCGCTACGAATAACGCGTTTGTTATCTTCTAGGACAAAAATATCAAATTAGCGGCCCGCGACCCTATAATCTAGGGTATATTAAATGACTATATTTTTCAAAAAAGATCTCATTCGAAAGTCACAATCTTCTACATAAAAATGATGAAGCTTTTCATATGTATACCTATAACTACAACTTGCGACATATATTCGGGCGGCAAGCTGTACATTTGCTGTTTCCTTAATTTTCTGTTCGCGTTGACGCCGTTGCAACGCACGATTCGGCCGTCTTTTCTTGTTAACGCCACAGTAACTGGCGTTACTTCTTTTTGTAACTGGAAAATAAACGACATAGCATTTAGCTTCGTATATATATACACACACACACATATATATATATACCAAAAACTACCTCCAAAACTACCCTTAAAGCATAAATGACTTAATCATGATATAGCAGTTTAATAAATAATTGTTTACTTCCTATTCTATCTATTAAATTCAATTAATTTTCAATCATACTTCATTTGTGCAAGAGACTTATTCAGTGATAATTTTCAGAAAACAACACATATCATTCTTTTACACTAGATTCAAAATATTACTAGAAATTTATTATAACTATACAAATTAAAGCTAAGGTGATCACGGATTAGAATGTGTGCGAGAGCGGGAGGGAGGAGGGGGTATTTGTAAGCTAAAAACTTATATGAACATTTTTTCGGTTCAAATTTTCCAGTTGAAATATGTTTAAAAATATATTGGCAATCAAAACATTTTTAAAAAAACGATAGTCCTATCGGGGACAAAACACCTAAAACCGGGACAAATTTGGCTTTTAGAAAAAGCCGGGACGCAAGGCGGAAAATCGGGACTGTCCCGGCCAATCCGGGACCCTTAATTAAAGCTCGCATTTGATAATACTTTAGATAAACTAGGTGATATGCTGTTCAACAAATTGCTATTAAATATCAGATAAATAAGAAATAACTAATTTTAATGGTTGCCTAAAACATTTTTACAGAACATGTTTTTTACACTTCATCCTGGACTTTCATACCAGGATTAGCCTCTAACTAAAACTTTATGCTAAATTTTTTAAACTAAACTGTAAATGATATTTGTTCTTCAATCTATATGTAACTTTAATATAATAAACTTTTATAAATGGTATGGGCGTGTTTTCATACAAAATTGGCCCCACCCTGGTATTTAAATGATTTAGATGCCATTTTATAGGTATTTTCGAGAAAATCCGATTTACAAAATTTCAAATCTGTAGCTCATCATTTAGCCGAGATACCATTAAAAATATATGAAAGTGTCCCCTTTTTTCAAGTCGTTTTTTGTCGCAACTGAAGAAGATATCGACAAACAAATAACGGCATTCTATTAAGATCGGTGTGGACTATATTATTAATAACAAATAATGTTTAATAATTATTTTTTAGTGCATGAAGAAGTGAAAATATTTTTTTGTTTTGAATTTTCGGGTTGTTTGGACTAATTTTTAATTAGCATAATTAGAAAGGCTACTGAATTTTTTTTTTACTGTCCAAAATTTTGTTACTAACAAGGTATTTTTACCTGAACTACGCTATGTACATGAGCAGGCGCCAAGTCTTCACTAGTAGCGTCTTCATCACAGTGGTCATCGACTACACCACTATCATCTAAAGAAGATTCGCGATTATTGCCATCACTATTGTTACTACTCGCTTGACGGCTATGGGGCCCTAATTGACCACGATATTGAGGACCTACAAAAAAAAAACATTACGAATACACATACATTAGACATTTATTATAATTATAGGTAATAACTACCCAATGCATTACACGGATGCAGCGTATCAGCAGATCTCTCTTGTTGGTCCTTAACACCGGATAAAAGCACTACCCTTGGTGCTTGGGGAGCTCGAGCCCTTTGTTGAGGTTCTGGGGATAATTTTTGGGGCGGCGGCGGAGCACCTTGTGATTCGGCTACTACGGCGTCTCGGCGAGGAGATGGCGATGGTGATGGCGTTGCCGATCTCATACCGTTACCTGTATAATGGAAAAGAAACTTGAGATGTAACCAGTTTTATTATTCTATAAATATACTAAACTAGTGTTGTATGACATCGTGCCTTAAGGAAAATTGCTGCAACTTCCAGTACCAAAAAAATAAAATATTTTGAAAAAGATTTTTTTTAATCTTTGAAAAAATTTGATTTTTTATGATCTTGAAATTTTTAAAAAGAACTGACTTTATTGAAAAAAAAATGACTGTTTTGAAAAAAATTTTTTTTTAATATTTTGAAATATTATGGAAATTTTGAACTTTTTTTCAAAGCAATCGCGCTGCTTTATCTGCATAGAGACAAAATATCAAAGCGCGTGAGCGCCGAATAGTAGTCTTACGGATAAACAATGTTACTGAACCCATAGAAATGTCTATGAAATATCTGATAGTTTGATGTAAATATATCTAGTCAATATTTTTGACCACCAAATGATATTTTTTACTTTCTTTACCCTATCTCCAAAACCGCTAGACCAACCCTCACAAAATTTTAATTAGTTCCTCCTTTTGTAAAAACAAGTTATATGTTTTTTGAATTATTAAAATCAGACGCTCTGTTCTCCTAAAAACCGAGTCACCCTGTTTGGCACTTTTTGTCTCGTATCTTCGAAATGGCTTGGCCTGCTTGTGCCAAAAACTAATCAGCATGTCTCCCTATCAATAGGAATAGAATATTTTTGAATCATTCAAATGGGTTGAACCGTGTTCCCGAAATCGTAGACAATAATTAGTATCCGAACACACACACACATTCATACATCCATTTTTTTTAAATTATGAGGTATGGAAAAATGTACAAAAATATTTTCATTTCTTTGCAATTACTATAACTTATATATTAACCTACGGGAAATTAAAGAAGTTATCAATTTAATTATTTGATGACAATATTAGAATCAAGTTACTGATCAAATACTAGTTATGACGTTGACGTATGTATGTATGTACATATTTAGACATGTTATATTCTTTTTCATCATGGTTTCACAAATATTATGTTTTCACCAGGAAATTTTAGAATATAAAGTGATAACCAGTTAACTGTGTTGCTCACTTCGAATATTGGGCACAGTTTTGTATCGTCCAAATCGAGTGTATATTCGCCCATACAGAATAAGTTGCGACAACTTATTGTATAAAAAATATTACCAATACTAATATAATATAATAATATTATATTATATTAGTATCGGTTTATATTACGAATGTTATTAAATTAAAAAATGTTATCAGGTACTACTTTCTACTTTTTTGTTTAGATAAGCATTACATACCTGTTGACCTAAAACAAATTAATATACACGAAGTATTATATATGCAGTTGTAAAAAAGTAAGAATAGTTTTTAATAAAACCTCAAAACTATTTTCAAAATAAACAGTAGAAAAAGCTATGAAAAATTTCAATTCTTATTAAAAACATAATTTTCACTTTTCGAGAAGTTCATGCAGCTTGCCTTAAAGTAAAATGCCACTTACAACTACTTGTTTTATAAATATAGCCTCAAAATATAAACTAAACAACTTGATATTTCAGAATATATTTTGTTTATTCAATAGATTCAATTTAAATTGCAAATGGTCAGTGTTTTTACACGCATTTCGTCACCTGTTACTTCCCCATAACGAGTTTATTCGTCCATCACTATTAACAGGCAAATACGTAATTTAAAATTCATTTTATTTTAAAACCTTAGTTTAATTTCTACACCTCTTTTATATAAGCTCTCTTTATTAAGAAAAAAACTGAAAATTGCATATAGACAGCTCTATTATATGAAACACTGTGGATATAAAGCCTGAAACTGTAATATTCAGAGTGTTTTAAGACTATTAAAATTTTCATGCAAGTGCAGCGCTGGATTTATTTACATTTTCTTCGGGTATATGGAAATTTTATTCACTTCCATTAAAAGCGACTTATGATGAGTCATAGTGCTTTTGCGCATTTGAAGAAGAGAAGTAAATACGCTTTTCTTCAACGATACTAGACAAAAGTATTTTTTTCAGATTTATGTATATCAACCTAATAATTATTTAGTTAATAAGTAAATCATTACCATTTCCGCCATTGCCTTCATGTCTTCCTCTTTTCTTCCGCCTCATTTTTTTCCTGGAATACGAAGCTAGAAGGACACCTTTCCTGGCATCTATTCTCTTTTGAGAATTTTTATCTAATTTTCGTACATCTAGACATGAAGGATCGAAGCTAAATGTCGAATCATCTCTGTGCTCTGTAAGATCTTTTTTACGTTCCTGCGAAATTGAAAGCAAATCTCTTTTATTGATCTGTTATAACAGAATATTTCGAAGAGCATTCTGATATCAATATATAAATGTATTCATTTATATATAAAAAAACATGTTGACTTGACTTAAAAAGAAAATATCAAATTGTATAAATATTAAAATGTAAAAATAGATGTAGTTAAAATGCCAATGCATGAAATACAGCATCTCTAATTAAACAAAGTATAAATAATACTCAATAGTATAATTAATTAATAATGATAAACGATAACCATGTTCATAACACCTGAATTCATGCAATTCATTTATTATCATAAATAAATTTAATCAAATGAATGTATTCATATGTTCACCAAGCGGAATCGTAATTCAATGTGAGCTCTTGGAATTATTATTAATTAATTTATGGACTAATTAAAGTTTTGCAGTTGAAGTTTTAAAAATATAGATTAATATAATAATAAGGTGATCATATTTTTTTAAGTCAAAACCGGGACGGCAATTTTTAGTAATGTTAATCTGGGACGATGGAAAGGTGATTTGCTTCAAAATAAAAAACCGATTCACAAACGAAACATTTTTTTGATGTAAATATTTTTTTTAATCGGAAATGTAAAGAACTTTATTATTCAATTATATGTAATGTTTGTTACATATACTTTTGTCTATGTGTTATCTCTATATTTTTCTTGCTTTTGAGCTCCGTATAAAACTCCACTCAATTTTTTTCATAATTAATTTGAAAAACTAATGCAACTGTGTATTTTTCACTATTTATATATCGATGTCATTTTTTACATATAATTGCCAAAAGATTTACTCAATGTCTATGTAGGACAGTTGTAAATATATCGTTGAATGAAAAAATATTAACACTTGTTCGTTTACTTTTATAATTTTTGTTAATTTACCTATTAATTTTTTAATAACCGGGTCAAAAGATTTAAATCCGGAACAAATATTGCTTTTGAAAAAATCCGGGGCACAAGTTGGAAATTCGGGTCAAATACGTCCCGGTCAAACCGTGGCGTATGATCACCTTAATAATAATCATTTTTATTATATTTAAAATTTAAATTTATTAAATACATAAAACATTTTTTAAAAGTATATTTAAGTCTCTGAAAATATTTACGATGAAAACTTCATATATGGTCATTTTCGAATTTTCTTGCTCCCAGGGGCTCAAATGGTTCCAAATTGATAAAAAAACAATTCTCTGAAAGTTTAGATAGAGCGCAATTCAATCAAACTTTGTATGGAAATAGCATAGAAAAAATTTTGATAATTAAAAAAAAATGTTTTAGGTATAACTCATAAAATTTTTGAAAATTTTGCCATGCTATTACCATACAAAACTTTGATCGAATTGCGCTCTATCTAAACTTTCATTGAGAGCTAAAACTTTCCGAGAATTGTTTTTTATCAATTTGGAACCATTTGAACCACGGGGAACAAGGAAATTCGAAAATGACCATATTAAAGACCACCCTAATATATAAATATATATATATATATATATATATATATATATATAGTAACGTAAATTAATAAATGAACATTATTAACGCCAAGTCGATCATATATGTCCGGCACTAAGAACTACACATGAGCCATGTTATACATATTTACCTGACATACACGATTTGGTATAAGAGCAAGATTTACATTAAAAAAGTTTTAATATAAGGCCATGTCAGTATGACATAAAATAAGTGTTTTTCAGGAACAAATTCCTTTGATTTATCAAGCTTTTTTGATACATTTTTATCTAAATTATATAATTAAATTTCCATGACTCATAAGTATATTTTCTCATATTATCGAGGCGATTAACGTATTAACATTATACATATTAAGATTTATTTATTATGAGCTTTGTTTTGTGCAACTTCTCAAATATGGTAGACAAAGGTTTTTACTTCACTGGAAGGATCAAAATAAACAACTTCGATCGACTGGAACTAAACTAGAATTGTTTCGACAATAATTTTCCACTAAGATTACTAATCCGGAACCTATATTTTTCTACAGCCCTACACAAGTTTTACGCACAAAGTTGTAATGGAATTTTGGAAATCACCTCTTGCGTAATTTCCGCTTCCTCTTCGTAACTCAGCGCGACGACGGCGAGCATTAAGTTTATGAGGTAGAATGAACCAAAAAACACAACCACGGTGAAAAATGACACACTCATCGGGCCACATGATGCTAATACCTGAAAAAAGAGAAACAAAATATACTTTACATTTTATACATGGTACATTTATACATGTCTTGAGAATACACAGTAAAATTTTTGAAATAAAATATATAGTAATATATAGTAATATTTTTGAAATGACATGCAATCTCCGGCGACGCTAAAAAAAAGGTCCTCCACTGCTGGAGTGATTGCAGCCTTCTCCGTTAACTAGATAATATTGTTTGTACAATGACCTACGATATTTTTTTTTTTAATAATTTTATTTGAACAGCGATCAGAAGTTATGGGTTCTATTAGCTGTTGTGATTAATATCTTACAAACTACGTTTGCTTTATTACAGGTGGCAACCCAAACAGTTGTCACATCTCTGTATGATAAATTTTTATTACAATCTCTGTCATAGGGCAAGTATGGTGCAACAATGCCGGGTAAGGGCTATTTTCACTTGGAAACATATTGCTATTTATATTTCCAAGTGAAAATCGTTGTCCCTGTTGCCTGACAACAGGCTGCTCGAAGTGGGTTTCGAACCCGGGACCTCTGAAACAAGTCCCGTCGCTCTTAACCGCTTCCCTACGGGCGAGCCCACGATAAAAATAAAAAAATCAAAAATTGACAATATGGCCTCATTTTAAAAAAGATAGTCGAATTTTACCCAAAATTTTAATCGTTTTTGGCCTGCCAAAATTCGATTTTTTAATCAGACCAAAAAATCGATAGGTCATTATACGGAGAACTATATATAGAACATGTAAAAAAAAATCGATAGTGATGGGATCATTTGTTTTTGAGTAATCACTGCAGCAAATTCGGAAAATGCTGTTTCGAGAAAAACGCGTTTAAAGATGAAATGTTCGTTATACTAAATACTATATATATACTCTTTAAATAGATGTGACTCAAAAACTATTTAAGATATCGATTTAAAATTTTGGTATGTTATTTTTAAAGGTATAACCTATCGAAATATGGAAAAATTGAAAATTCGATTTTTTGAAAATTTCACACTAAGTGTGCCCTTTAAGTCCATTGCAATTAACGTGTACACTAATTGCATAAATATATAATACAAGATAAAAATAGAGCAAACTCATAAAGTATCAAGTTATCTTTAGACTATTTAAATGAATGCTGCATCAGTGATTTATGGAAAGTATTTTTTTAGTTATCATAAACATTTACAGAAATCTGTTAAACATTTCTAGAATCACCTAAACATTCAACATTATGTTTGTATTTTTTTATCGCATAGTATTTTTTACGCCTGCCCTGTGATAGACAACGAAAAGACTGTAGCTAAAAATGATTTTCAAAATACAAAATATACTATCGTGGTCACAGACTTTCAGAATTGGCTATTGATTTTGAATATTTGTATTTGATCATATATATTATTGTAATAAATGCATTACTGCATGAAGCCAGCGAAAATTCAATGCTTTTAGCTAATAACAACAAACTACCATTATTTAATTTGCAAAGCTTTATTTATATTTCATCAAATAATAGTGAGGGCTGAGTTATCTGTTACTAGTCGTTATTAAATAATTTGTTAATGAAATCTTTTGTGAGCATTATATTTAATGTTTATATGTTTACATTCAGCATTTTTATTCAGAAGAGGGAATAAGATGTATAATCATTTCACCTTGATTCTTACGACGTCGCTACGGAAAGAAACGCGGCAATGTTTGAAAATCCTTAACAAAAGTGTTAGTTTTTTGGTCGTTAGCATCTTTGTTCAGTTTACAAAACCTTTATATAATTTTTAAGTCTATGTTATTTAAATGTTTTATAAAATGTATTGTTATTTTTTAAATTAGATTCAACAGTTTTTTTATATAGCCTCAATAAGAGCTTACATGTGGGTGGGGTAGAAAAAACAATCTAAGCCTTCGCCCTGGCAAAGGTGTAAACAATAAAATATAGTGAACAAAAAGTAAATTAAGTTAAAAAAATCAACTTTAACAGAAATAAGTTGAATAAATAGTTATTCCAACTCAGCCGATGATTATTTCTTCAATGTTATCTTTGTAAAAATGTTCCCATGATATTTTGCATTGGCTGAATGATGTAGCTATTATTTCTTGAAAAAATTAGGTGATAAATTTTGAAAAAACAGCATAAAAGTATATATCTACATTGATCAATCAGCTGGGAGTTCTACTGAACATAGTCCGATAGTTGATTGATTGATATGTATTACTTATTGTGATATAATTGTTTTGGTTTTTACAATGTAATTGTTCAAAGTCAAATTTAATAATATTTTATTTAACTAAATTTACAATTCAGTAATAAATTGGCATGAAAAGTATTAACTTGATATATGATTTAAATTGCTTTAAATTCAGCAAGGATGTATTTAACAGTCTCGATGTAACTAATAGTTAAAATATTTAATATCTATGCTAACCATACAATTTGATATCATACATCTTTTTTTTAAATTACAATATTTATTACAACTGTTAAATGGTTTAACATCTAGCAATAGTGATAAATAATAACATAAATTTAAATAAATAAGAGTGCAAAGGATAGAATTTACATTAAAATGATATCCGTAGTATGATGATAAAATAAAAGCAAATAATATTTATGAGACGTGTTTACTCGACCACGGTCGGTGACTGACTAATACTAAAAATGAAATCAATAAATGAAATAAATAAAATTTCTGAATAATAAAATAATACTAAAAAAAACAATAAAACAACAAAATAACAATATTAGAAATGATAAGATAATAAATAATAATAATAATATTAATGTTGGGGTTTACAAATGGCTATTTATAAGAACATTGGGAATTTTTCGTTTTAGTCTGGTTGGGCGCGCTTCTGAGAATACTTTTTGTGCCAAGTAATCATAAATCTGTATTCGTTTTGTGCTTGTATATATAAATTTTCCAAAATTTAATTTTTTGTTTCATTCAGTATACTAGAGTATATTACAATATTCATACCTCTTATATTTATGGAACCTTATCAATGATTTGCTAATATGCACTTTTACTGCACTGTATTCAGAATATTTTTCTTCAATACAGTTTTGCATATCACAGAAAATACTATGAACCCAATAAAAACGGCGAAGTACCTATGATTTATTGTTACAGGATCCGATTTTCTTGTATAAATCTTGCACGTTCAATTATGAATAATTACGATAAATTTGTCAACGACGATACAATCGATGGCGCATGTTAATCACGCAAGAAGGGCGTCGGGCGCCGCGCGTCGCTCGAACGATAACTCCTTCGCCTTCGCAGGCGTCCGCTTATCGCTACTGTAGAAGTACTTATTGCTAATCGCTTAATAAGAACATCAAGACCCGGACGACTGAATCGCGCCGTGTTCGAAGGTATTAGAAGGATTATACCTTGAAATATCTCGAATATCCTTAACAATATAGAAGAGATGGTTTTTCTAAGATATTAAGGCTGGATTATTATATCGACATTAAATTCTGACTTGTGTTGCGAATTAACGGCTTATATACATGCCAACTTGTGTTATATAATCTGAGAATGATTGGGAAAACAATGAAATTGTTTCGGCCAGTGTTTTACGTCAAATAAGAATCACAAGCAAGAACACTTTGCGCGTTTTGCACAAACATTTGTTTGATTTGTATTTATTTGAAAACGTCTCAGTGGTGGCGTAATCGTTTAGGACATAGCCAACTAGTCCGGGTTCGATGGTTCGATTACCACCACCGCCAAATTCCGACATCAGGCAGCTTTGATGTCAAACTTCCACTTGAGGTTATAGATCTCAACATATTTTCAAGGGAAAATAGTCTCTGATGTACATAGCTGCAACATTCTATTATATGACAACAATTAGACGTAAGAGCTAATATGAAGCCCACAAATAAGAGAATGGTATGCTGATGGGTTACCTCTCATCAAACATTAGGTGAGATCTTCTACTAACAGTTTATAGGTAAAGTAGTTGTTCGAGCCTCACAATTTTATTAATCCATCTTCCTCTACCTGACATAATAAAATAATTTCCTACCCTAGTATAGGCACTAAGCTAGTTATAAGAAATTTTTCATTCTGTACTTATACCTTGGCCCGATCACACCTTATACAACTAACTAAAATTAAATACAAATGATTACTGAACTAGTTATTATTTTCCTTTCAGTTGTTTGCTATTTTATGTTTGATATAGCTTTTTTGATAATTAATTATATCTGGTCCTTCGGGGTAGTAAAGTGTCCGTGTATAGTGATTTTTAATTGACTTTTTTTTAACAAACATTGCGTCGGACATGTAAAGTTAAGTATTTCCAATTGCTGTTGAAACAATGCATGATAATTTAATACATTTAACTTGTGATGCACATTTTTCTGCATAGTGTGCATCGCCATTTATCAATTTTATATGCAAATTCATAAAACTTCGTATATACTTACATATACATACAAAAATGGACTAACTAATATTTCTATGCAATACTACTACGGTCATTAAAACTTCTTTTATAATATAACCAGTTTTTAATTTATATATCAGGTATTCAAAGAATGTGGTTTATAAATTAAGATATTACGGAGAAAATCTCGGATAAAATATAAATGTTTTATTACTATTAGATAGAGCATTTTATACATAAAACTCCAAAATGTGAAAATGGTCAAATAACAATGTTGCCATAAGTGCAAATATCTGTGATCACTTTGATAACACACGCGTGAAGTCTAACTAAAGTAATATTCTGACGTTTGTGCCATTGGGAGGTTAGATTTTTTGTGTGAAACGTTCGATTGTATTAAATACATAGTTTTTCAGCAGATCGTGTTGATAATCACAAAAAATAATCAACAATTGAAAAACTCATACGATTATTCAACAAAATTGACCTTTAACATAACATTTATATTTTATTCCAAAAATGGCCCCTACATTTTATTCAAGAACTTTATCAGTATGATCATGTAATAGTTAATATTTTATGTGATTGCAGAATGTTTTCGATCAATTATTGAAAGTATTTTAAATTTCTAAATAAATTCAAGCATTGTTATAAATTAGGATAACAATAACTAGAATATTATTATTAATTCGAATAATTTTTATAAGAAATTTAGGATGGAGTGTAAAAGAAAATAATCACTACAGACAGGTCAAAAGCTAACGGAATTTTACCATAATATTATACAAAGTCCACCTTCAAAAACTAGTTTAAAGCAATAAAATTTCCATTATTCAATCATCATTTTGTTCGATAAATATCTCTTTCACCATCAACTGTTTTTATACCCTTTTTAACTAGAACATTTTATCGTGTTTTTATGTCCCAGTTTTAAATTTTTATTGTTATTTTTTATTATGCAGAGCATTGAAAAGTATTATAAATTCATTACGCGTATGATAGGTAAAGCTGCGATTAATACTTTGAGGGATACATTTTAATACCGTTTGTTTCCAAATCGATATACAACTGGCATGCAATATTAAATATTTAAAAAATAATGCATACTATATGTTTTTCAATTGTTTTTAAATGTTTCACTATTGAGATTTTCAGTATTGAAATCAAAACAATAATTTAATAAAAAGCATTTCATCAATTTGATTTAACGAGGCTTGCAGTAAAAAATTAATATCATTTAACAAATAAAAAATAAAGTAATATTTTTCTATTTGTAAATTATAACAAAGCACTTACCATATTATAAACGTTCTCCCAATAATCCAGAGTTATCAATTGAAATGTGGTCAACATCGACCACATGAAATTATCAAAATTCGTGTATCCATTATTAGGATTTTCTCCCACGCACAAACACGTATAATTGCCAGGGCAGTGCCGCGCCCCGGTTAGATTTCCGCACAATATGGGTTCATCTTCTTCATCCAATAACCAATTTTCTGGACTCCACGTCCAATTGTGCCACGCCTTGTCCAGGCTTATATTACCGTAAATTTCTGGTGAATAGAATAATTCAGGCGGATCGAGAACGCATTTGTTCCTCAATTCGCCCATGTAAACTTGCAAAGCAAAAAGTGCGAAGACCATGAGACAGAATATCGTCAGTGTCATTACTTCGGCGAGCTGCTTGAAGGAGTGGAGAAGCGCGTTTATGATTGTCTTCAGCCCTGGAAAACGATATTGGTAAAAGATATCATTATTAAATATAACTTTGTTATGAAATTCTGCACATCACATTAGGGGGCGTCCATTAACCACGTGAGGTTTTTAGGGGGAGGGGGAGTTTGACAAAAAATCACAAAATATCACGTGAGGGAGCGAGGGGTATAGCAAGATATCACGTGTATTTATTTTTTTTACTTTTTTTATAAAAAAGTTCAAACATTTTCAAAAAAAAACATAAATTTTACAGTTTTTTCACGTAGCTAAAAATACACGTGATATTTGGAGGGGGAGGGGGGGTAATTTTGAATATCACCAAATATCACCAAGGAGGAGGGTCTAAAAATCCTCAAAAACTCGCTCACGTGATTAATGGACGCCCCCTTATATGAAATTAATTGAAAGTGAATTTCAGTTGAAGATGAGAGAAGAATCTAATAAGATTAAAATAATTTCCTTATTGGTATTTTGCATTGATATAAAATGATAAAATGACTTTTTTAATGTTATTTTAGTATTTTTATTAAAACCCAATATAAATTTTCATGTCTTTGCAATATTTTTATACCAACCTATTATAATTCTTAACGTTTGATCCACATATTACTTACATATATCAGAAATATCTAATTTTCTAATAGCGATTTATAAATTACAGAGCAAATGGTAAATAAATAAATTTAATAATACTAGATTCAACCTGCTGTCACTTATGTACGAAAAAGCGTACCCCTTCGCCCTCTTCCTAAAAGCGCTTTTTGCAGGAATGTCACTTATGAACGAAAAAGCGTGACCAAGCACAACGACTAAGATATTTCTATCATTATCAACAAAAATGTGTTGAAAAATTAAGATTTATGATTCTAATGAAGTAGAAATTACAATAAAAAACAAGAATTCTCTATAGTTTATCTCTTATTGATATTTCTTAAAACAAAGGCAAATACGACATGTCATCGATGGACGACACTCGTATATACAGGTACTACTCGTATATACAGGTAATTGTCGTTTGTGGATGACACATGTTGCAAAAGGGTTAAGGTTAAGGATAGTTGTTCATATACTGACAGGATAAAAATCTTTCTTCTTTGAAGAAATATTAATAAAGTAATAAAAATTACTGACAAAACTCTAATAGTTAATCCATAGCATTTCATACTAAAATCAATTACACAATTTTCCAGTTCTCTAAAATATTGCAAAATTTGAACTATTAAGTGGGTATTCTAGTGTAGAGCAATGAATTTTAGGTCATTTTTAAAGTGTCGTAAAAGAAAGCAATGGATGTTTTTACTATCCATTTTTTCACCACTTGCTTATTAATATTATTAAAATACAAAACAAAAATTAAAAAATAAAATTGTAAAAACTGGTAGCTGATGAAGTGGATGGTCTCAAAAAATTGGCACCTCAGTCTTGACATGATTTCAGCCCTCCTAGCCATCGGAAATGCAAAAAATAAAAAGATTATTAATCTACGATGATGTCGCAATCGCCCGAACTAGGGATGAGTAAAAATATTTTTTTTTATAAATTGGCGACTGTTTGACAAAAAGTGTTTTTTTACTGTTTTTTTGAGCTTTTCGAGTTTTTTAAAAATAGTAAAAATTGGAATTTGTGGATAATCCTAGTTCGGGCTATATAGGTGTATAAATAAGACTCTCTGATAATTTCAAGTGAATCGGTCGATTAAAACTCGAGAAATCGTGTCAACAGTACTGAAAAAGTCTGTTTTGAGAAAAACGCATTTAAAGATTTGAAGCCAAATCAGTACGGAGACCGAGTCAGTAAAATGCCTACATCTGCGAAAATTATTCAAATTTTCAAAAACCTTCTCGTACCCATATCCTTAGATAGTTAAAGTTTGAAAATATGAAATAAAAAAAAAATCGATTATTTTGAATTTTTACACTAGACTAGAATACCCCCTTAATTTTATCTAAGAAATCAGAATAATGTTTCTTGATAAATATCTCAAAATTGTATATTATACAAAATAAAATAAATATGCTTTACTATGGTAAGCAAATGTTCTCAAAGTATCCAATTACATACCAGGCATTATGGAGACGGTTTTTAGTGCTCGAAGTACCCTGAACGTCCGCAACCCGGCCAGATTTCCCATATCGAGGCCTATGGTCGCATAACCCGATGTGATGACTACAAAATCCAGCCAGTTCCAAGGGTTTCGAAGGTACGTATATTTGTTCAGGATAAAACCCTTGGCCACCGACTTGATCAGCATTTCGGCGGTGTAGATCGCGAGAAATATGTACCTGAAACAATACCGAAGTTAACGACTCGGATAAGGATAATAGAATATTTAATCGAATTAAAATAGCATAAAACATAAATTAAAAGATGCACCATTATTTTTTCCCTCTATAATCTAAGTCAATATCACTTCCCGATTATTTTTGAAATTTTCTGTTTAAATTGAACACAACTTTAGACATGAAATTAATAATAATTTCATAAGTGATTTTTATGTATGTTCCTTTTATATTAATCTTTTTTCTATGGTTATGAAGGTTTTTTACACTTGCGTGATAGATAGCGATCGCATATTGTGTGTTTAATGATAATGATGTTAGTTAGCCAAAGGGCCAATTTGGTTATAAACGAATATACACACGTATGTAAGTATATAAAAACATACACACACATACACACATCATATATATATATATATATAAATATATATATATATATATATATAAATATATATATTTATATAAATATATACAGGGTGTCTCAGAACTCAACGTTAAGCCGAATAGGGGTGATAATATTGATCATAACTATCACCTATGTAATTAGAAAAAAAAGCTCACGCAGTTTCAAAATTGTGAGCTTTTTAGAGCATCTTAGAGCTTTGGTTGGAATTTGACTATTTTTCAGTAATTGTGGTCAATTTTCACTAATTTTGTTTATTTAAGCATTAAATCCATATTCTTGAATAAGAATTCTTGAGCCAAAATAAAAAAATAATGTCACTATTGCCTCAAGTTTTTAAGAGCTACAACATTTTATTGAACTATGAATTCAAAATTTTCAAAATTGGTCAACCTTGAGAGGCTCTCCTTTAGTAAAATGCACTAGTAATAACCAAGTTAATTTTTAGGTTTTCATTTTTGATTCGATTTTTTTAAATTATGAAACTATCAGATATTTTACCATTTTACAATCCTGACTAAATGGGTCAACCTTTGGTCAATCGTTCAAACACACTTTAGTGATTTTTTTAACAAAGGGCCTCTCAAAGACGACCAATTTTGAAAATTTTCAATTCATAGATCAACAAAAGCTCTTAATACACTAGCTCCTAATAGCTCTATAAACCAATGTGGATGCAAAGCTTAAATGTACAAAATTGAGAAAAATTAACTGAAATAACCAAAAAATAGTCACATTTTCACTAAAGCTCTAGCTTGCACTTAAAAGCTCCTTATTTTCAAACTACTTGAGATATATTTTTTTAATAATTTCGAAGATGATAGTTATTATTTCCGTTTCGACTTAACGTTTGGGTTAAGGAATACCCTATGAATATAAACCATGACCAAGGGGGGGAAAAACGTATAAAAAATGTGGAGCTTTCGCAACTAGTTGCAAAAGTTTCAGAATTGTTAATACGCATGCAAAGTTAAGAAAAATAAACCGCAAAAACCACATTATTGTCAAATCTCTAGGTTGCACTTAAAAGCCTCTCTTATTTTCATACAACTTGAGATATTTTTTTTATAATTTTTAGATGATAGTAATGATCAATATTATAACTCTATTTTGACTTAACGATGAGTTAAGAGATACCCTGTAAATATAAACTTACCGTTTATATTTACAGGGTATCTCTTAACTCATCGTTAAGTCAAAATGGAGTTATAGTATTGATCATTATTCAAGGAAGAGAAAAACGATAGAAAATATGGAGCTTTCGCACCTAGTTGCAAAAGTTTCTGAATTGTTAATACACATGCAAAGTTAAGAAAAATGAATCACAAAAATCAAAAAATGGTCACATTTTCACTAAAGCTCTAGGTTGCACTTAAAAGCTCCTTATTTTCATACTACTTGAGATATTTTTTTTATAATTTTTAGCTGATAGTTATGATCAATACTATAACCCCATTTTGACTTGACGATAAGTTAAAAGATACCCTGTAAATATAAACCGTAATCAAGGAAGAGAAAAACGATAGAAAATATGGAGCTTTCTCGCCTAAGAAAAATGAACCACAGTAACCGAAGAAAGGTCACATTATTACCAAATCTCTAGATTACACTTACAAGCTCCTTATTTTCAAACTACTTGAGATAGTTTTTTTATAATTTTTTAGATGATAGTTATGATCAATACTATCACCCTGTTTCGGCTTGACGTTGAGTTAAGGAATACCCTATAAATATAAACTATAAACAAGGGAGAGAAAAACGTATAAAAAATATTGAGCTTTCACATCTAGTTGCAAAAGTGTATATAAGAGAAAAAAGTCATGTGTTCAACATAACTAGACAAATAGTTAAAATCTTAAAATTTTGCAATTTCATAAATGAGTTAGTTTTTATATAAAGAATATAGATAAATAATTATTAATTTTTCTTCGGAAAGTGTAAAGCCTCATAAACCAAAAACAAGGAAGGGAAAAGCGTATAGAAAATATGGAGCTTTCAAACCTAGTTGGAAAAGTGTGTAAGAAAAAAAAGTCAAGTGTTCAACATAACAAGACAAATATTTATAATCTTAAAATTTTGCAATTTCATAAATGAGTTAGTTTTTATATAAAGAATATAATATAATAAATATCTATTGAATATTCTTCGGAAAGAAAAGAAAGTATAAATTGTATACACTCGACTAACTAATCGCCTTAACTGATGTCATAAAACTATAATACTATTTCCTCCATCTAATCAAACCAAACAAAAACATCGGAATACAAATGTAATAACAGCAATGAATTATTGCCCGAGATGTATAAATTGTGCAACAAGCACTTACATCCATTACATGTCGCCGTGATGTTTTTGCCTGTGTCCCTGTGTCACGGTTGCGCGACAAGTACAAGTTCTCGTGCCGGTTGCGAGTTGCTCCGGGCACTCAGTTTTACGACAGATCAGCAAATATTTAATATCAAATGTAGAACTTTTCGAACACACAATAAATTCTACGAGCTTTGTTGGTGGAAATAACATGAGCAATTTGATTTTGCTGATAAAATATACAATTTGAGCAAATATGTGTATATGTTTTAATAAATTGTCAGAATAGTTTGTTGTGGATAATAAATTTTTATTTAAATATTATTGTAGTTTCGTTCAATAAATTTATGTTAAAATAAAAATAAAGCTACAAAAGTTTAAGCTGTAAATATATAGAGCAATTAATATATTTCTATGTATACTAGTGGTGTAGTGCTTACCAATAATATTTCTCATTTATCATTTTTCTAATAATCTTTAATAAAATATGTCCCATGTATATATATCAAATATACTAATAATAAGACTATATAGGGGAGACCTGAGTTAAAAGTTACGCGGGTAAAAAGGTCCACCATCAATTTCTCAACAACAAGTGAAATATGGAAATTATTTTGTCAAAACAAGCAAGAAGTTTTTTGAATCATTCAAATCGAATGTTTAGATCTCTCAAAAACTGCCAAATTTTTCCACATTTAGCTCGGTATATCCGAAACTGCTGGACCTGCCTTTGCCAAA